CATTATGCGTCAGAAGAGACGAAGCAACATTCACATGTTGGAAACTGTGATCATAGATTCGTGAGGCACCCAAACACCTTCTTTATGGAGTTTCCCATATTCCTTACATGTTTACGCATTGTTCCATGAGATACATGCAATTTTAGGGCCATTTCACGAGCGTGTTGCCTTGGGTTAGACTCAACAAGCGTCTTCAGAGCATCAGTAACAATTCCAACATGTCGGCCTCTGCCATCACAGTTTTTAAGACTAAAGTCACCTGAATGGAATTTGCTGAACCATCGTTGGCACTTACGAACGTTCAAAACATTTCCATAAACTTCTTTGATATTCTTCGTGGCTACAAAGGCATTGTTTCCCTTCTTGTATTTAAACAGCATTACACGCCGAATGTGTGTCTCGTCGTGTGTCATCAGTATAAGGGATTAGAATATAGTAAACTTTAAACATTATATAGGCTACATTAACATGACGTTTAGGCGGTTCGTTTAACTATTATACATGATGACCTAATAGAATATAAAACTAATAAAAAAAAAACAATTTTGCAAAATTAAGTATGATATAAGGATGGTAATGCCATAAAGTACAGAAACAAGGTAGGGATGAATACATACACATAATCATACAAAAAATCACTAAATAAGTAGTCTAATCTTTCCAAGAATAACTTTTATCCACAACTTAATGTTGCATTCCAGTCAGTTGCATGAATTTGGGTTTGAATTTAAACTGAATAGTGCTATACAGTCTTACAGTGGCTAATAACCATAAGATTGTAAGATTGACTCAGTACTTACTGGTTACTTATGTAGAGATTTTTTGTATGGTTTTATGTATTCATCCCTTTCTTGTTTCTGTACGTTTCAGCATTGCCATCCCTACATCATACTTAATTTTTACACTTTTTTATTACTCGTATTCCCTATTTTTTAAAACAATTTTGTTGAAGTAAGTTGATAAGGGAACATTTATTTTGTTTTTATAATCCAGTGGTAATATATATTGCTAATATAATATCAGTTTCGTCAGTTGCTCTAATTTTGGATTACTTTGGGGGCTAGTGAAGCTGAAATAGTTCCTCCAGGATGGTACAAGTACCCCAGAGCACTGGACCAACTTGAAGGGGATATTTACAGAACCCACACCTTCCAACTTCCCCCAAACTCACTGCAAGTGCGTATAACCGACTCCACAGCATAAAGTATGATACCACGCATAAATACGCAGCTGCTAGGCTTGGCCCTGCTGAAAATGTGAAGAAAAATAGACCGTTATATAATGTATGTTTTGATAATTAAGAAACTGGTATTTTTACACCAGACGTCAATAACGTGTGCACATGTCTGTCAGTTGCATAAATTCTTTATCTCCTTAATACTTTGAATATTAATTTAGATTATTTTTTCTTTATTTTTATTGAAATTGTTTTGGAAGATGTCATGTTTGTGCAAAGAAAAGTCACAAACGGTCGTTATATAAGAGCAATTTGTCCTGCCATTTAGCAACCAGAAATTCAACTATTATTTATGAAAAATCTAACCTATATAAAAGCCTGTGTGTGTCACATGACGTCACGCTTGATTTCTCGAAATAGGAGGAGTCATAAAGGCCAAAATGCATTTATCCAGATAGAATAGTTCTATTAGTGTCTGCCCATTAGAATTTTATGATGGGGGTTAAAGGGTGACGTGAAACCTTATAAGTGTAGTGAGTGTTGATATAATAAGCCTAAAGTAATGACATAGCGTGGGATCATCTAGTCTAGAGCCAAGTGCATAAAATTTATCATGAAAGTAAAAATATCGATTTAATTTTAAACTTAAATCGTTCCTGAATTGAGCTATTTTCTGTTATATCACCAACGTTTTAAATAAAAAGCAAACCTCTTTAATCAACGGAGGCTACTCTAAATTAAGAAATAAACAAATATTTTTTTAGTTTTGTTGTCTATACA